ATTGGGATTGTCCCAGTGTGGCTGCTTTCTGGAGGCAAATTTCCTCTACGTTGAGTGATTTGCTTAAAGCTGACATTCGATTATCACCATCTTTGTTCCTACTTAATGACGATTCCACTTTAGAACTCTCCTCTCAACAAAAGCGCATGCTATGGGCGGGCCTCACTGCAGCTAAGAGGATGTTGGCTCTACGATGGCAACCACCACACTTACTGCCTTGGCAACAATGGGCCAACTCCTTCCTAGATATCGTTATGATGGAGAGGTCAGTGGCCAGGATGCACTCGGCCAGTCAAAAAACGATTAGAGCTTGGGATGCAACTTATTCTTTGATCAAAGAAAGAGTGCAACATAATTCTACGTAATATTTTCAATATGTAACTGTAAGTGATGATTTAATCTTTGCAACTCTCCACTTCCATATTTGTTATAATTTTGAGATCCTTGGGAACAGGGTAGGGGGTCGCCATGGGGTTGTGGGTTGGGGGGTGAGGGGGTCACACTGCCTTTTCTATTTCTATGTTGTATCCCATCTAATGTAACTATACTGTAATGTACGTTGTTGATGTAAAACAACTAAAATAAAAATATTTGATCGCAAAAAAACTTTAACTTCCAGGGCCCTTCATGGTCAAGTTCCTTCTAATTTTACTTGTCTGGTAAAGCCACATACTCCGACTCAAGCATTCAGGCACTCACACCAAAATGTAATCATTCTGCCAATGACCAGACATAAAGCTTGAGGAAATCACTCCTTCTGCACTAGCTGGAGTCAGCTGTGGAAATGAGCCTCCAGTCTTTAAAGTCTGGACTCCTTCAAAAAAAAAAAAAAAAATTAACCAAAAACATTCTTTTTCTAAAAATATTCTGATCTGAATCAAATTCATTTTTTTTTTTATTATTATTTTTTAATTTTTTTTTTTTTTTTTTTTTTTTGCCCTTTCCTCTTGGAACACTTTGTGAAAGGTGTTATATAAAATGTACTTACTTATTCACTTTGTCCTAGTAACTATCTGACTTATAGTACACCATAGTTAGCAAATCCAAGTAGTTTTTTGTCTTGCAACTGGAAACTGATCTAGTTGGACACAAAATGATCTTAAACTTTGAGTTTTGACTTCAAAGAACATACTATTCCACAAAAGCTATGACAGAACATTCTAATAACTTTTTTTGGTTCATGTATTGAAAACAGAATTTCACTATGAGATTGGATAAACTGATGCATTACTGTAGTGTCTGAGAACAGATTATATCTTTATGTCTCAATAACACACCTAAGCTGAAGCCTTCATGCTATGAGTGATGTAATATCTGGATACACAAAAGGGCTTTTTTTAATAATCTGGAAAATGGATCACAGCACAAAATACGATGAATTTGAAAAACAAGTTTATCTATGGATTTGGTCTTCCTAAAGGCACAAGAGAGATTCCAGAGGCAAAGAGAGAATATGACTCTGGACCCAAACAAGATGTCAATGTGGAACATGCAAACGTTACAATATGATACAAAATACCAAGGGGGACTTTATTGGCTTTGTCCCTTCAAATTGCAAAAAATTGAAGTTATTCATTTCAGAAAATGGAGTCATGCATTAAGGTTACTTTTTAGGTGCGCATAGAAATACTCCTAAAATGGCATTATATGGAGATATGGGTGAAGTTGGATATATTGTAGATATGGTCAGATTGTGAACTAAGTTTATTAATGTACCAGATCATAGATTAACAAAACACATTTTTCACAAAATCTATCTATCTATCTATCTATCTATCTATCTATCTATCTATCTATCTATCTATCTATCTATCTATCTATCTATCTATCTATCTATCTATCTATCCACATTAGCAAAAGTTAATCTTTAAAATGTATTGAATTCAGTATTCACACAAAATGAATCAAATTGAAGAGCTTTTGTTTTCCCCATTTCATGATCTGAAGCAGCATCAGCATCACCAGCTTTCCCTGATGGAGCTTCACAAAATGGATATTGATTGATTCTTCCTAAAGTGGTTGTGATAATGTGACAAGCAGCGGTCATTTCCAACTGAAATATCACTTTGGCCCTCCAGTTAAGCCTTTATCACAAGAGTATATGAAGCTTACTGGAAATGCTCTTCCGGCACTAGAGACCTGCCAGACCAATGAACTACTGGATCATATAACACTCTGGAACTGTCTTAATGACTTTGTGGTGGCTCCAGAAAATGACTGTGACATGTCTTAGCAACAGAAAAAATGAGGTAGTGAATATCTGGGCAAGTGTAAGACCAATGCAGTGTAGATGTTTGGAAGAACATTTTCTACTCTATTTATCACAATTTTATATTCAAGAGTCCTATATTATATTCAAGGACCTGATAGTATGTAGGCTGAAGTACATTCCAAAGAATATTCATTATAATTAAACCTTTACATGTGAACCTAACAAAGAAGGTTTGATCAAGATATACTGATGTTGAGTCACCCATCCTGGATGAGCATCACTGGTTATCAGCTAGTTCATCTGTAATGTTAGGCATTTATGGAGAGCGGACATGCTTCTTTAGCCAGTAGCAGTAGATTATATCAGGGGCACGTCCAGTTTAACCTTTTGTACTTAAAAGATTTCTGCCACTGTGAGTTTCGGAAGTTGCTGTGGTCATCCTTTCAGTCCCCTAACCATGGGCTGTTGGACTTATTTGATTCCTCCTTTCCTATATGCTTCTCCAGGAGTGTTAAATCATCATGTGTTTCACATCATGTGTTGATTTTTCACTGTTCAGCGTCGGATTCTCTGTTTTTATGCCATAATTCACATCTAGTTCGTCGCTCCGTTTTATGTCCCGCTTCTCCTGTTTCAGAGTGTTGCGCAATGTGCGCGTCATTTTTTGTTTTTGTTTTTAACCCCCTAAGGTGCAGGCCGGTGTTCTGTCAGATCAGCATACGTTGTCAGTCATACGCTTACCTCAGACATGTATACGCTGTTATTACCATATTATTTTATTTAACCAGCAACATAGAATCATGACGTAGATCATCATACACTTTGTTATTAACAGCAGTATGGCATCCTGACTTAGCGGTTAAGTAGGTTAATGAGTTTTACACGGGCGTATGTTATAGTTGACTGCAGCTGCAGCCAGACCTGCTTTAAATACACTTTGAAACCACGACAACACATGTATATCTATCTAGTTATCATATTATGTCATATTATAAACAATTTAATGACTTATTTTCGTCATAACTTGTTGCGTATGCTGAACTGACAACTCCACTGACGGTCGGACTTCTTAATGCGCATGCGCGGGCATGCGTACTAACTGCATGTATGCTGTCCTGACAGTGTATGTCATGACAGCATACACTTTGAGCATACACTTTGAGCAACCAAGTTGCTCAAAGTCTAAACTGGTATTGTTGTGCATTTAAGGTGTAAAGTTTACCTTCGACCAAATGCCCCCCAAAGAAACCCAGCGCCCCACTTTTGTAAAAATGTCCGCCAGCGCCCCCTGCTGTCCTCTGAACGCCCCCCGGGGGGCGGTACCGCCCACGTTAGAGAACCGCTACTCTAGAGCCACTCATACAGACATGTTTCTGTTATGTTTTGGGAATGCTTTGTGCCTGCATTTAGAAACCTCTCAGGAGACAGTTGGAAAAAGTGAATAAAGTTTATTTTACAATAACAGTCAATGGATTGTGGGTCATTGTCCAGGGTTATGAGAACCGGAACAGACAGGAACACTAGAAACAAACAGGAGGTCAATAACTTAAGCAGGTTTGGAGGATGAGATTATGAATGTAGTTCTTACTGATGATGAAATGGGTCCACTGATTTCAGCCCTGCAACTCCACCTTGACTACTCATTGCCCTCACCTGCACTGTGCTGCTCCCTATTTCAGCAACTGCTCATCACCAGCTCAGTGCGAGATCGTCTGTTGCCTCAGTCACAGTTTTCAAGCCTGGTTTCATGTTCTAAAGCAGGGGTGTCAAACTCCAGTCCTCAAGGGCCTCTGTCCTGCAACTTTTAGATGTGCCTCTGCGGCACCACACCTGAATAGAATAATTAGGTCATTAGCAAGGCTTTTGAGAACTTATCTACACAAGGAGAAAGTAATTAAGCCATTTCATTCCAGTGTTTTGTACCTGTGGCACATCTAAAACCTGAAGGACAGCGACCCTTGAGGACTGGAGTTTGACACCTGTGTTCTAAAGAGTTTTCTGGTTTTCTTATCCTGACTGTTTATTGACCACAGATTTTTGCCTAGTCCTTCTGCTGTAGTTAGAGTTCTGACCTCCTCTTGCTGAACCATGCCTGCCTCTGATCCTGCCTCCAGGATCTATTTTTCGAGGAGACATTGTAGTACTAGATGAACATGTTTCTGGTGCTCGGACATGGACTTGGAGAAAAAGAGGATGTCATCAAGGTAAACAAACACGAAAATAAACATTAAAAACAATTGTGGAAAACATTGTTGACCAACACTTGGGACATTGCAGGGGTATTACAGAGCCCGAAGGGCATGACTAGTTATTCAAAGTGACCAGTGGAAGTCTTAAAAGTGATTTTCCACTTGTCTCCCTGGCGGATGCAGACTAGGTGGTAGGTGCAGGGGCGCCGCCAGAAATCTTGGGTCCCCTGACAAAAAATTTGATTGGGCCCCCCCATGCAGCTGCTGTTACAATTTTTTGAGTCTATTTGACCCATAAAAAGCGTCACAATTTTAAAGGCTTGCATCTGCCTTGCTTTCTGTGGTTCAGTACTGATAATTGGCACAATATTTACTGCTCATGAATTTAACATCCAACAGTCCACATCCAGTATGCAAATAGGTTGCTTACATTTTTTCTATTAGTTTTAGATACTGAAATGTTTCTCCCATGAGCAACAGTCAAAAGCAACGTGCAACTACACATAAAGCAATCCAGACTTCTAAAAATGCTATGTAGTTGCATTTTATTCAAGCTGCAGTACACAACTTTAATAAAAAATATGTTTTCTCCATATTTGTTAAAGTTGTCACGATGTCGTAGCAGTTTGTTATGAGACAGATAATCTGTGAAAACAATCAATCTCCTCCATTTCCTTCCTGAATTACTATTACTGGTTAAAGTAATGCATTAGGACGCTCTTAGTGCTGTCAATTAGCCTCATTCACTCACTGCTAAATGTGCTAATGAGAAACAACTTATCATAACAAGAAACCGTTTATCTGCCGTCATTAGTAGCTATGCTAACTTGAGACAATACATCGGTAGAAGGATGCCGAGGATGGACCTGTCAGAAAAGAAACCTAGAGGAAGACCAAAGAGGAGATTTATGGATGGAGTGAAAGAGGACATGAAGGTAGTTGGTGTGAGAGAAGATGCGGAAGATAGGGTTACATGGAGACGGATGACTCACTGTGGCGACCCCTAAAGGGAAAAAGCCAAAAGGAAAAGAAGAAGATTGGTAGCTATGCTAACTAAACTGAGCATTCACAGTTTGAGTCTGCACAGCTCTGTGCTATGCTAGCTGCAGCACGGCACAAATCGAGGGAGAGGACGGATGAGCAGCACCACATGAGATTGTGGTTGACAGCACTAAAACTCTCCTGCCACTGACTGGTTGTTTCTAGCACTGAGAGAAAGCAGAGGAAATAGATTTTTCACAGATTACCTCTCATTCCATACTGTCGCAACATAATGACAGTTTTAAAAAATATGTGAAAAAAATATTTATCTGAAATATTGCAGCTTTATTTTCACTTAGGAGAGGATTGGTCAGCACTGCTGCTGACTTATCTGTTAAGTGTGGTGAAAGGTACAAGGGACAAGCTAAATATATGAATATGTTGGTAATTTTTTTTCCTTAATTCATTAAATGCTAATGAAATGGAGGCAAACAGTAGTCTGTAGCTAAGCTAATTATGCTAAATGGTTGATAAACTCACACAGTTTACCCACCTCTCTTGGAGAAAAACTGGGTTATAAATTAACA